CCCAAGTTCACAATGTCTCTTTAAGCTCTGGAAATTGGCCAAAGTGTTCCTTCATGTGGATGAACTAAAAAGATTTGAGAGAGTGCTGTAATTTCCGCCCCACATGGGAAGAATAATCTGCAAGGATTAAATAAACAAACAAAAATCCTTAGGAATCAGGGACAGGAGAGGTGGTTCCATCAATGGTGGTATTGGACTCTAAGGGACAGCAAGGTGCTGGTTTGGGAATAGGAATGTGTTGCTGTGCAGGGTGAGCACATCCTCTGATCACTCAGTCTCCTGGAAGGATGAGGAGGCACACTGCTCTGCCTTCCTCCAAGTGACAGCCTTTCTGTTCAAGCGTTAAGACTCAAGGGATGTTGTAACAATACCATGTTTGTCTTTGTCCTTTGGTGCTGAGGGCTAGTGTGTCTTGGTGTGGCCATGTTTGGTACCAGCTTAACCTGGAGAAGATCATACTTGTCCCTCCTATCTCCCTCTCCACTGATTCTTACCATCTATGCAGCTTGGCCAGGCCTTGGCCACTGCCTCCTTTCTTCTGGCATCCCCACAATGTACAATTGTTCCTTCCTTCCTGGTATTGGTCCCTGATGGCAATGAAAGGATATGTTTGCCTGTCCATGACTATGTGTTGGCATAACATATGCTGCTGCCCTATGATGGGATGGGACCACTGGACAGTTCCCCCTTTCCTGCCTGCCCAATCTGCCTCTATGAGTGACCTGGAAATCCTTCCCTTTGTAAGAAGTCTATTTGCCCTTCTTGCAACCAGCACAGTCTTGTTTCATGTTGCAAGGGTATTTGGTGCCTGTGGTGGCAAGTAAGGAAGTAGTGTAAATCAGAGCCACCTTAAATCAGTGAATCCCTCTGCTACCACCAAGGAAGAGCAAGGGCACCTTTCATTAGGAGAGCTGCAGTTAATATGAGGGCACATCTGTGGTCATGTTCTCTATATTGTTATAAATTAGAGCGACACTTTCCTCATCTGAAGTGCTGGGTGCTCTGTGCCTTGTCCATGGAGATGGGAATGCTTTGAATCCTCTCCCAGTACATACAGCTTTCTCATCCAAGGTGACTGCCCTCATAAGCAGCTTCTGTGGGAGTAGAGAGATAGGGATAGGGGTTGTGTGAAGGGAAGGGTGGTTAGAACTGGACAGCAACTTTTGGATTCAAAGATAAGAGGGTCTGCTCAGCTGGCACATCTCCAGTGTCTACATTTTCCCCTGTCTCCCAACACCCCTCCTTCCCTTAGGTAGGGCAAGGCCACTCTGCTGCCTCCTGCTACTTATCCCAGGGTGCTGGAGGCTGATTTGGGAAACGGCTTGGTGGGATCTGGGTCCACACATTTGTCCGGTGGCAGGCTGTAGCAAATGCTGCTCCACACCTGAGCACCTTGGTGTTTGGCTCCTCTAGACCTTCCTGAGATCAGTGTGAGCCATGTGAACCTGACGGTGCGGGAAGGGGAGAACGCTGTCATCACCTGTAACGGCTCAGGCTCACCACTGCCTGATGTCGACTGGACAGTGGCTGAGCTCCACTCCATCAACACCCACCAGGTAAGGACTGCAGGACCTCAGTGCTGCCTGTGTGTGATGTGGCAAGGGCAAGGCAGATGCCAGGGGTTCCCCAGGCCTGTGCATGCAGGGCTGAGGATAAGGTAGATGGTAGAGACTACTATGAAGAATGTGAAATGGTTGTATCCAAAAGAAAATTGAGGCCATTCCCTTCCCACATGAGAACCTGGGGGCTACCACAAGGGAGCAAAACCTTCCCTCTGTATGGCTGGAAAGAGAAGATGACAGAGCTTTGTATTTCAGTGATCCCTAATTGAATTAACTCATGTCTCCTCTAATGAAACTATCTGTTTGCATATGTGCCTGCAATAGCAGTAGCTGAAATAAGCAGCTAAGCAAGATTTTCTAGGGGCAAGACATATGAATCAGTACTGCAATGCTATGGCTCTCCACTTCCCAGTAGTTCCTCTTATAAGATGTGGTGTCAGGTGAGGAAACAACTCCCTTCACCCAGATCCTACTTGCCCTTGGATTTTGGAGACCTTCTCACATCTTAAATGGAATCTGTCATCTTCCTCTTCTGAGGATGGTAACAGGGAGGAAAAGAGCTACCAGACACTGATTTCTGTTTGTATTTCTCTCTGGGATTTTTAGACCAACCTCAACTGGACCAATGTTCATGCCATAAATTTGACCTTGGTAAATGTCACCAGCGAGGACAATGGATTCCTGCTTACCTGCATTGCTGAGAACGTGGTGGGGATGAGCAATGCCAGTGTGCTGCTCACTGTCTACTGTAAGTACCAGTAGAGAGACCTTGTCCATACAGAGGCTGGAGGGCTGCCCTGGGAACCATTTGAATGCATGGCCACTAGATACCTGGGACGTACTGATTTTGTGGGTGAGAATTAGGAGTTGAGCACAGTGAGGAGGAGGTGGATCCTCACACAGCTCTCTCTCAAGTATCAGTAGTTTTGCTTTCCTGATGCTTCCTTTAATCCAGAATTGAGCACTAGAGCAGAGGAGGAGCAGCAGTGCTGCACTGGTGGTGAGCACCTCTCCACCTACCTCTTGGAAGGTCTAGTAGAGCAAGGAAAAACCATAGAGGGGCAGAAACTCTATGTACAAACACAGTGTTGCTTGTCCTCATGCTGTGTGAGAAGTTTAGTGACACCCTTGCTAAAGACAGTTTAAAACCTGCCACTGATTTCAGGCATATTAGTGCTTCCTACCAGGTCAGTTCCTACAAAGTTAAACTGTAAATGCCATGTTAATGTGCACATGTCAAATTTCAACTGTTCACTTTTATCTGCAAGTAGCTCAACTTTCTTTGTGCTTTCTAATACAGCGTAACACAAACTTGACCTTAAGAGGAAGTTTACACAGCTTTGTGGTCTCAAGTAGCTGAGATTTACTATATTTTGCTGTGTCTGTAATATTTGCCCTTACTCTGTAGTTTGAAAATCTGTCCCCCACCCCAACCTTGCCTGGGAGACCCATGTGGAATCTGACTAGTCTCGGTGATCCCACACATGCTGCATGATGCTTTGCTACTTTCATCTTCCTCCCAATATATGTTATTGATGGATTGAAGGATGGAGGTGGTTTAAAGATCAGCTCAGAAGTGACTAGTCAGCAGGCAGGTGTTTTTTGCACCATGTTTTAGCATCTTTTCCACCATGGCCATGCCTATTTCCACCCATGAAATCCTCTAAGATGCTGACAGTTTCTGCTACCCCTGCTCTTGCTGCCTAGACCCATTACTCAGGCTGTAATTTCACACTGAAAAGATCTGGGTTTGTGCATGTAGGTGGCTGCCTGTTTTGAATCCTCCTTGCCAGGGAGATGTGAACAAGCCATATAAGATCTAGGCTTGTGAGTGAAAGGAGGTGGCTGGGATGTGGCTGTGTGGTTCAGGGTATCTGGGTACTGGTGGGAGAATTTTGCTCAGCTGCAACCAGCTCTGCACCTTCTTTTCTTCTACCACCTTCACTGCCTGAAAAATTCACTGTCTTTTTTCCAAGATGGGTCAAAGTTGGTGTGTTGCTTTTCTTCCTTGTGGATGTCCCATGGGTTGTCTTTGCAGCTGGATGGTACCAGGAAAAGGAGAGTTTTAGGGAAGGCCTACATCTTTGTGTCCTTTATCTTTGTACAAAACTTGTTCTTCTAGTTCAGACCTTGCCAGCCTTGGGGTTTGGGACCTTATGTGTAGGCGTTGTAAATGGGGTTTCAGAAGCAATAGGAGAGCAACATTTGAATTCTTGGGGTGTCCCAAGGGGAAGACAATGCATATGCAATAAATTGCAGGTGGAGTCTCTGCTTTTCTTATCCCTCTCCCACTCTGCTCCCTTTAATTAAAACACCCCTGGAGGCTGTTCGGCGAGTAAGAAGTCTTTTGGGATATTCAGGCAGTCAAAACCCCCAAGGACAGGCAGTCGCTGAGGGATGTTTGCTTCTACAGCTATGCAATCCAAAATTGCTCGGTGCGACTGGAGAGCTCCCACGGGCACCTTGCACATGTGTAATGTAACAGTGCTACGTCGTGGTGTCCTCCTTAACAGGAACAGTCGGCCTCCCTGTGATCCCTTGGGGGAAGGAGAGCAGCAGTAGGTGTGTGGACCAGGCAGCTCCAAGATTAATTGTTCCTGGGCTGGTGAAAGGACCATCCCTGTCATTAATTTGTACTCCTGTTCGGATGACCAAGAGAGTTTGCTATGGTTCACTATGGATCCTCTTTTCAGGGAGTGTGGAGTGGTTCTTCTGTGCTGCTTCTTTGCAGACATCCATGAGAAGAGTAGAAGGAACAGGGGATTTTGGTGGTTTTCAATAATCTTATTTTCCATGGTGCACAGAGACATGACGTTGGGTGGAGGTGTGCTGTGAGCCTGCCATGTTTCTCTCTGCTAGATCCCCCTCGCATCCTTACTCTGGAGGAGCCGGTGCTACACCTGGAGCACTGCATTGCATTTGCAGTGCATGGGAACCCAGCTCCCACCCTTCACTGGCTGCACAACGGCCAGGTCCTCCGGGAGACAGAGATCATCCACATGGAGTTTTACCAACAAGGGGAGGTGTCTGAGGGTTGCCTGCTGTTCAACAAACCCACTCACTACAACAATGGCAACTACACGATTGTGGCCACCAACCAGCTGGGCTCAGCCAACCAAACTATCAAAGGACACTTCCTTGAAAAGCCCTTTCCAGGTAGGATATTCAGTTTATCTCATTAGGGTTCCTTGCAAACTGAAGGTCTTATTATGGCCCTGCCAGTAATTCTTGCACCTAAACAAGGTGCACCCAAGCTGGCCTCTGTTTGAGCATCAGATTGGAAGAGGTGACCTCTGGAAGCCTCTTCTTCTGACCAGTGTGATTTTCCTACTCTAGTGTATCTCAGTGTCATGTCAATTCTTATTGCTGGGAGAGGCACTAACTGGTTTAGATATTTTTGTTTTGTGTCATATTCTGCAGTGTGTTTATTTATTTATTTGAAACATCTTCAGGAATTTCAGTGGGAATAGGATGTAAGTTTGGCCAATTATTTTGGATCTTGTCTTGGGTGCCCCAAAGATGTTACCCATATTTTTATTTTTTTTGAAAGAGTATGCTTCTATGTGATTGCTAGTTATAAGCTAAAGAAAGCAAAGCCCTTTGAAGTGATGCAGCTCTTCCCTTTTTTTTTTTCCTTCTAGCTTGCATTTTGTGAAATGATTAAAGCTGGATGCAGCAGTGTCAGGATTGTTTTCTTTCCAAATGCGATATGTGCAGTTCCAGGATGACAGGGCTACAAAAGATGCGACGGCTCAATTAGTCACTTTGCATCAGTTTGCTGGGATTTCTTAACTGATTGTTTGGAATTCCCTGTTGCACTCCCTGGTGATTCAGGGCCTAAATGCTAAAAGTAAAGCACTTGAGGACATGAAGATCCAGCCCTGGGGAAATGTAGTAGAGACATGTGTTGGCCTGTCTGCTTTATAGTAACTTCTTGGTCTGCTCTCTGGCATTGCAACACCAAGCTGGTCATCATGGAGTTAAGATCTGTGCATGCTGCTGCCTTCAGGAATGATGCCATGAGAAAGTGGCAGCTCTAAATTGGCCCCTGCAGCCCAAGAAAATCCAGCAAAATAGGGCGTTTGCTAAATATAGAAAAATACCAACGGTACTCTCATTTATTATTTATATCACACCATATATGTACACAGAGTTTTCCCGCAGGTCAAATATCATAAATGCAAACTCAAATCTCTGCCTTGAAGATCTGACAATTGAACAAATGAGATGATATGGATGGGAGTGGAAAATTTGTCTTCTGGCTTCAAGGATGCTGCCCTGTTTGGCTATCTGACCTATTTATGTTTTCTTCTGTCAGGGCAGAAGAGCAGCTTATCAAATGTGGGTGGGTGAGGGAGGAGAAACACACAGGTTTGCAGTCTCAGCTCTGTCAGGTCCCACCTTTGTGTCTCAATTTCCCCATCTGCGAAATGGGGACAGCTCTTAAGTTAGGTGCTGGACTTCCAAATCAGGGTGCACATACGCTGTTCCAGAGAGCTGATTTTGGAAATGGATCTGAGCTGTGCTGTGATGTGGGAAAGCACATTGATGTTTGAAGAGCTTCTTGTGTCAGAGGCTCTTGGAGAATGGGATTGTGTGAAATACATGTAAAATATTGCCCTTGTGAGTGCATCTTCACCCACGCCTTGTGTGTGCTGTTGGTGTGGAATGCTTACTGATCCCGAGCCATCGCTCAGCAGGAGTGGACCCATTTCTTTTATTTCTTCTGATCCAAAGTCCCAAGCCATTCCTCACCCTGGCAGACCCTGTCAGCCCAATGCAGGATGTAATTTACTTTCCTTGAAGCTTGTTGCTTTGTCCACTACCACAGCTGACATATACACTCAATGCAGTTGACGTTTATAATTCCCCATTTGAAGGTAGATTTGTTCAGAAAATGCCACACATTGATGGTTCCCCAGTGTGGTTCATTCAAGCCCTTATCACCTACAGCAATTCACAGGTGCAAAGGCTTTGCTGTCACTACCCTAGATGAGATTGAGTCTTAATAAGGTCCTTTCCAACCCCTTAACTATCTATGAATTTATGAATCTATGAATGAAACTGTAGTGTCTAGAAAACTTCCTAATAGCATAGAAAAAAGACCTGTTTTTAGAGCCCCCTGGATTGCAACCTATCATGGTACTGTGTCACACTATGCTTCACAGGTTGAGAAGAGCAAGGTGCTGTCAGAAGTTGGGTGAGAGTTGGGAGATATATGTTCTTTGCCATATCCACTTTCTCTCTGATGCTGTGACTTTAGGAGACAGGGCAGTAGCTCCCAGGACAGATTTGTGTCATATCCTGTTAAAATCTCATTGCATGTTGTCATTGGTATCTCTGCCATAGGCTACCATCTCCTTAGTGAATCCACAAAGGTTAATATACCTGTGATGAGTGTTCAGTTCTTTGGAAACTTCTCACAACACTCAAACTGGCTGAAATTTCTTGGTTATTTTTAATACTTTGAAAAATAGGGTTTACTGGAAAATGAGCTTTTTGTGGCTTTCTGTTGAATTTGCTTAGTCCTACAGAGAAAAATGGAAAGGAAAAATGTAGAAACAGCAAGAATTTTATGACTAGACTCCATCTGCCTTAATAGGAAAAAAAGTCTCCAAATAAAATATTTCTTCCTTTTTCCCCCACCCCCCTTGCTAGAAAAAGCCAAGGAAAGTTACCCCTCTGCTCAACTTGAAACACAAATATTTTTTCAGGTTTTTCCCCTGGTTTGGAAAGCTGTGTTTGTCACTTGGGGCTTGTTTTACGCTTCCCTTCCAAACCTCACCCATGCTTCAGCGTGAACGTTTCAGCATCCTTCCAGGAGCCCTCTGCCAGCAAAGCTGTGTAAACTCCAGTTAATATCAGGCTCAGTTTCTTACATGGGCGAGTGAATTGAAAGCTGACATTATTCTCACGCTATGTAAACTGAGTGTCACCAAGGGCTTTAGACCTCATCGTCTGGGGTCTCAGCCACCTTTGGAGATGAAGGAGCTTTACTGAATAGACTGGAGCAGTCATGAGACTGGCAGCAGGGACTGGCGTTCCTGTCTTGGGCAAGAGGCAGCTCTAGGACAGTCACAGCCACCGTGTCCAGTTCAGATGCTATTAGTTGTTATGAATGGCACATGAAAAGGAGGTCAGAGAAGGTGCCCTCTACCCTCCATGGCCCAAGCTGGACTGTCCTCCGTGGGAGCTGGTCCTTGTCCTCACAGGACTTTGTCCTTGGGTGAACAGTGTCATGCAAGGCAGAATCTGCTTCTTTCCCCTCCACCTCCATAACCTGCAGAGCCCTGTGTGCCTGTTGAGCTTTGCTCACCTGCTGAAAGCAGGATCATTTAACAATCATTAGAAGTGTGGATAGTATGCTGCTACTTGTTCTCCATTTTGGAGTATCACTTCTCTCCTCTTTCAGCCCGAGGTTCTCCATCCTGATCTCCAGCATGTCCTGCTGGCACATACTCTGCAATTTCGAACTGCATTTGCCCAAGAGGACAAAATATGAAAAAGTTGGTTTTCTGGGCAATATGGGGTAGTGGAATGTGTCTGAGGTGGGTTGGGAATTGGAGTCCTCTCCCTTTGCTGTGCTGCTAACTGTTCCTTCTCTCTTTGTCCTTTTCACAGAGAGTACGGACAACTTTGTCTCAAGTAAGTGTCTCCTTGCCTCTTGCGTACTATGGCTGGTTAGTTTCTCTGGTTCCCCCTGCCCCTCTGTCCTTTGCATACTCCTGGAGGAAAAATCAGGAGGCCAGAAGCAAGTTGGTAGAGCTTGCACAAAGCCATGGTTTCCTCATGCATCAGTAAAATGGTTTGGGAGTTTTGATCAGCTGGGTAATCTCTAGAGACCAGGAGATGCTCATTTCCTTCTAGTAATGTACTGTCAACTCTCCTATAAAGGAAATGATGGTTTGTTGTGGTGTAGTAATAGGGGTCTTAACTAGATCCAGGCCAGTCCCCAGTGTTAACATCTGTCGTGTGGACTGGGACAAGAAGCAGGACTCAGCTTCTGTCATGTTTACACAGCACATTCTTCCTGCCTCTGCCACCCCACAAATAACCAATCGACCAAACAAAACCCCAAACCCAAAAAGCATCCAAGTAACTGTTTTTTCTGATGAAGTTCTGCCAGTCAGTCTTGTATTTTAACCCTACTTAGCCCAGTAGATTTTTGAAAGGTAGGAGATGGCTAAAGGGTGGATGGCGTCCGCCCTGGGACACCAGACACCCAAATGTTTCTCATTTGTAAGGCAGGAGTGACATCAGCAGAGTGCTGGCCTGTGTTTTCTCTGCTGACGCACACTGGTAACTCTGATGGTTGATTTGTGCCTTCTGAAAGAAAATTGAAGCCTTTGTTTGGGTGAACTGGATCTCGTTAGGTCAGGCATTGCCAATGGAATGTGCTGGTACCTTGGATGTCCCATGGGACCCACAATGAATCTTCTGTCTTTGCTGTTTTGGTTTCAGTTGGTGATTATGAAGTGAGTCCCACCCCACCAATCACTGTGACCCATAAACCAGAGGAGGACACTTTTGGGGTGAGTCCTGTCCTCTTCTCTACACAACTGTTTTGCATGCATTTCTCGTTATTGATGACTCAGTATTTGCATTCCTCTGCTGTTTTAAGATGTTTGCAAGGAAAATCTCTTCCTTTATGACTCAAGACAGCAATCAGAAGGATTTTGCAGCTCATGTCAGGCAGGTAAAATACTCACATGAACCATCTGATCCTCTTGGGTCTGCAGTGTGGAACCAGGGAGCTCTTTGAAAATAAGGCATCTTGTGAAGTGGTTGCTGGCAGGGTCAGAAATTCTCACTCTTAAAAAGTAGCACCCAGAGAACAAACAAACAGGCAATTGTGTGTTTCAGAGTATTATTGATCTCTTAAGTTTAGCCTGGTGAGGGACTCAGGTTTAGCTTGGTTCAATTCTGTCAATGCCCATTTGCCCTCTCTCCTGCTGTGCAGGTCATGCCTAAAATGAAAAAGGAAAGAAAGGCTAGGGATTATCAGATCTCAACGTTGTCTTTCTTCTTCGGAATCCAGGTAGAAAAAGGGGAAAAAAATTAGCATGTTACACAATTGCTCTAATCCTGTGAAAGTTTTAAGATACTGAAACCCACCAGGTGTTAACAGAACTAACAAAACTCAGTCCACCTTGGTTTCAGTTCTCATCCAACTGAAAATGTCCTATAACTGAAGTGGAAGCTTTATACAGTGAGGCTGGAGTAATAATGTGCATAGATTATTAAATATAAAGCACAGAAAACAGTCTGGGGATGAAAATAGAGTGTGATAAAATAAAAATTTAAAAATATCATAACAAATGTACCAAGAGCAGGGAAAAGGTTTGCAAAATGAAATTACTTTTTCTTGGTTAAATGATGTATTTTCTATTATAACAGAATGCAGTTTTGTAAAAGGAAGCAAAGTCTAAATGCATCACAAGACCCAGTACAGAACAATTGGACAAATGCCAGAGAAATTGTTGTTTACATCAATGCAATAAAAGTATCTTGAGCAAAGACTTGAAGGAATAAATATTCATAAATATTAAAATAAGCCTGGGATTGTAAACCCTTTAGGGCAAGGAGGTTTTCTTTTCTCTGCTCGTACACTGCCACAGTGGAATCAGAGTTCCAGTGAAGGACTTGGACACTGTTGTAGTATAAATATTTGCTACTAAAATTTACAATAAATAGGGATACATTAGAGGCTTTTGGAAACCCAGATGTTTTTAGGGGGGGAAAACCAGTTCTACTTAATTTCTTCTGTTTTCTTTTTGTGGCATGTTATTTTCCCTCACTCTTTGTCCTGAGGGATGTTTGGATGGAGACAGAATTGCTTTCTCTAAAGAATTTTCTGCTGCTCCTGTGTGTTCCCAACTGAGGTTTGTATAGCTTCAGTGTTGTAATGTCATGGCACAGCGGTGATGTCAGAAATTGAGGCTTGGAATATAGTGCAGTGAAGGAAGAGCCTTAGGCATTGGAGCAGAGATCCTTCTTCCCTGCAGATACATGGAGTTGAGAGGCTGGGGAGAACTGGTGCCAAAAGAGCATCACTAATGGGAAGATCCCAGACCTCCCAGTCCTGAAAAAAAGCCTGTGATCCTTCCAAGCTGCACCAGAATCCGCTGCTTTATCCATAGCGGATATCCATAGGGCTGAAGCAGATGGCATGAGCCTACAGAAAGGTTAACTGAGCAAGGAGGAGATGCTGTATTTCCAATGTAGACTCCTAAATTCCTGTCTTGACTCTAGGGCTTTTTTTCCTTTCAGGTTTCCATAGCAGTTGGTCTGGCAGCTTTTGCTTGTGTCCTCTTGGTCGTCCTCTTTATTATGATCAACAAGTATGGCCGGCGGTCCAAGTTTGGGATGAAAGGTAGGTGCAGTCACTTTCCTCTAGCAGGAGGCACCTTCAGGATTGCCCGGCTCTTATAGCACACGTGGAAAGGTGTTGTGGTTTTATTCCTATGTTGCCAGTATAGGTTCAAAGTCTTCTAAAGAGAATGTTGTCCAGCCCTCTTCTGTTTGTTGAGAGAGTAATGGGGATATGCTGCCTGGTGGTGCTCACCTGGATGTGCTTCTGTGGGCAGAAGTGTTGCATGTGTGTTCCTTAGCAGTACATGACTGCACCTACAGGTTGCCCAGAAATGCTCTGAGCCTGCTCCTTCCACCATGTGCTGAGGGAGTTGTACTCAGGACAGCATGCTCTTGGGTGAAATCTTTTTTGTGGGCTTGGTGGTGCATGGGCTTCTCCTGAACTGGCCGCAGAGCATAGGGTGTGAAGGGGGGACAGAAGGATATGAAATTGGTTTGTGTTCTGTTGGGAAGGCAAGTGCACTCATTCACTGTCTGTGAGTGGGGACTGAGATGCTGCTGTGAGTTCGTAAAATCCATGCTGGGAAAATCGCTGACCAGTCTTTCAGCAGTGTGGAAGGTTTCTTTTTGCTGCCTCTCTGTTGAAAGGTTTCCTCCTCAGTGTCATGAGTAATGACTTTAGAAACTTACTTCAAGTGTCCTTGGTAGTTACTGGAAAGTGAGAAGTCATCTGATGTTTGCCAGGCAGAGCTGGTCTCTCTGTCCTACTGACACAGCACTGCGATGTGACAAAGCTAATGCCAGAAGTAGACGACTCTGTGCCATCTGCTTTTTGTGACACTGCTGGTACCTCCAGTTGGGCAGCGTTGGTGGTGCCCAGTGAAGGCTGGAGGAAGAGCCTTCACATGACAAAGTAGTTCCCAGCATAACTGGTGGCTCATGCATACAGTGTATGAAGCCAGGCTTTGACAAACGTGAGCTTCTCCCAAGGCTCCAGAGTCGCAGCCTATTTCCTGGACTTGCCTGGGGTCTGCACTGCAGGGCAGGTTGATAGGTTTGGGAATATTTCTTGTGCTTGCCTAGAGCTTTGTTTGCTTTATGGAGACATTTCCTGAGTGAGTCCAGATGGGGTTCTGGCTGGAGTTTCCCCTATGCATCCTATGGAGATGGAAGACGGGACATTTAATTAAATAGTGAATCTTCTACACCAACTTAGCAATATTTAGTCCATATGTCCAATGATAAGAACCATCTGGCAGGGTGTACTGACTGGTGGGTGGAGTAGAGGAATGGAAGACATGGTTCCTGGGATCAATTCCCAGCTCTTCTACTGACTCACTGAGTGTCCATAGGCAATTAGCTGTCTTAACCTCTGTCTCTGCTTTAATTTCCCCATCTGTAAGACTGGGATGATGTTACGTGCCTTCTGGAGGGATTTGTCAGAACACTTTGGAAGTGCTTGGGCATTTGCCACTGATGCAGCTTAGAGATAGAAATATAAAAAGGAAAAGTAACATTTGACCCTAGTGGAAGAATCAAAGAGGAGTGAAGTGAGTCTGATGTGAGTAACCAGTCTTGGTGAACAGATGTGTGTATGTTTTGAGAGGTGTTTGGATAAATGTGTCAGTGGATATTCTGCATTCCCAAAAGCCAGAAGGGTGCTGTGTTGGGCCCTAGTGTGTGCAGTTTTTGGAAGCAAAAAACTTTTGGCCAAAACCAGCCTGCTTTCCTCCTCATTGTACTGTTTCTTCCAATTCTGATATGAAACCACAACCCTGCAAAGTTTCTACAAGTTTTATTGACATTGCTTGGAGAGGTGGAGTTGACAAAAGCTAATACATCTTTTGAACCAGGCACAAACTCTTTAATGAGTCAAAAGTGTCAAAGACCTCACCATGGACACACTGCCCAAACTCTGCTTCCCTGTTGGGGTTGAGGATCCTCCTGCTCTCTGGGAAGTCTCCCTGGCACATTGCTTTACCTGCTCTGAGCCTCCTGCTTTTCCCAAGCATATCTTTACCTACACTGTTTTCTTTAGCCCTAATGCCATTGTCAACTGCCATGTCATCAGGCATGCTATCAGACCTCACCACTTTTTCATCCACAACACAAATGCAACTCTCACACTCACCTGCAGTAGCTGGGCTTTTTGGTGGTACCCGGGCTATGGTCTGCACTGGCAGCTGAGCCAACTTATTTCTTATCTCCACAAGAAATATCAGTGTCCTCCACACATCCAAAAAGCAGTTTCTAAGTTCTTCTTCCATGCTGCTCAGCAGGTCCATGACTCCATAGCCTTGCTCTCTCCTCAGATTGCTCTAGGGTCTCAGCTGAGCTATTGCAGATGGTCCTGATCTGGCAATGGTACCTTGAAGCTTGTGTTTGCTCTGTGTGTGCTGAATGTCTCTTTCCCAGTGTTTTCCTTTTTGCTCTACTAGTGGACTGCTGTTTTTTTACCTCTCCCTGATGACTTCCTGTTCATGGAGTGATGCCCTCATCCAGATCATCCAGTTGCTCTACTGAGTGGTCCTGAGCTGCTTTTCCAGGAGTTTGCATACAGGTTCTACTTGATTCTGACACCCTGGATGGGGCAGTGCAGCTGGCAGCCACCTCCAGATCTCCTTTAGACAGCACTTTGCTCAGGCCCCCTCACTATCAATTAATTCTTGGGCAGGAGCTGTCCTGTATGTCCCTCAGCATGTTATAATTTGAGGAAAAAAAACCTCCAAGCCCTGAGTCTTTTTGGGAAAGTGCATCATTCCCTGATTCAGGAACTGTTTGTCGCCAGCTGATATGTTGCCACTTGTTGTTGAAATCCCAGCTTGGCAGGCCTGCAGGAGCAGGTTTTTCCTGTTGTTTTTGTCACGGATGCAGAACATTGTGTGCTCGTGTTGGACACGTTACCCAGAGCACCTCATGAGCCTTTCTGAGCACATCTTTTTCCTTCTGCCTCTCCTAGAGTTAAACAGATGGTTTATCTCCTAGAGAGAGGTGAACTTGGACTGACAAGGTTTGATGTCATGTTGGGTTTGGAAATCCCCCTGGGCCAACCTGCTGAGTTACCCACCAGTCTTGGAACCAGATTAATGGGCTGCCAAGTGTCCAACATTCCAGCTGCCTTTGCTGAAATGAAAGTCATTGTGTCTTGAGGTACATGTGCTGGGGGAGGATTACGACAGGATGGTGTTGTCCACATTTGTCCTCTTGTGGCTGGTAGCACACCCTCAGAGCATTGCACCAGAGTCCTGGCAGAGCCACCACTCTGGTTATGACCCGGTTACTGATACAGCAACAGCTAAGCAGTTGGGAAAGCCTGTGGTGCCAAGTGTGCCGTCGCCAGGCTGGAGCAGTGGCATCAACAAAAGCTCCTTTGAAGGCAGCTCTGATGCACTGTGCTCCTCAGCTAAGCCTGCAAAGGTTGGCTTTGTGCCATCCCCCTTGCCTTCCCGTGCTCCCTCCGGAGAGGGCATTCATTAACACGGAATGGTGGAGGTCAGATCCCCTTTCTGGCTGCCTGTCAGCTTTGGCTCCTGTAGCTGGGGGGGAACAGGCAGATCACTGGAGCTGGGGTAGTGGAGGTGGCAGGGAAATGGCAAACAAAGTGCCTTTTTATGAAAAGTAGTGTTACATGGGCAACAGGGGCATTAGAGGGAAAACTACTGGGAAAAGTGAATGTTAAAACTGAGACACGTTGATGTAGCAGGAGTGGACTGCAACCACTTGCTGAAGGGTTATATATCCACAGGAGGGTCTGGGGTGTGTTCTAAAGCTGTATATTAGCGTGGAAAGAAAAGGTTCTTACCAAGCAAGAAATTGGGAGTTAGAGTCCTTTGGTTTACTGTGTGTCCCAGAGGAATGGGTTTTTCAGGTAGGATAGACACACTGGAAGTAAGGAGCTCAGCATCCTGCTCTCAGTTGCTGCTTGCTCCAGTTCTGTGCTCAGTGTCCCACATTCCCTGACTGCCCACCCAAAGTGGAAGGTTTTACACCTCATGTTCTGGGGTCAGGCTTGTCACTGCAAGCCTTGTAAACTTGCATCTTCCAATTAAAATTTAATCTCAGCAGATGACAGGAAATAAAATTTTGTAATGTAGTGAAAAAAGCCACATTCAAATCCCAGGAATAAAAAAAAAAATAAAGAATAATAATGGCATAGAAAAGTCCTGGGACTAACAAAACGTTTGAATGGCACAATGATGGAGACACCATCAATACTTAGTTCGAGGGACTAAAATATATTCTCCTTTTACTTGTTTTCTGTTTACATTTGCAAGTGCCTCGGGATAAAGAACGTGTGCATGCATATATGTGTGATGCGTTCCTGGTGCTGCACATCTTCAATAAAAACCAAATTGAGTTTGCTGAGATATGTGGAGAAAGGTGCTAGAGAAAATCCAGAGCGCAAGAGCACTTGTCGTTTTGCTGAGATGAACTGTTTTCCAGGCTCTGAGATTAAAAACTACTTTCATTCTCCAAACAAGGTTTTCTTCCTTGGGTGGAGCCAGCGCCAGCTAATGGTTCAGACTTGGTTACAGTTGGCAAAGAGTTGATTGATTTTTAATCTGATTTCCTAAAGAAATAAGATGTGTGATCATGCTGCCTTTCTGTGCACATGCAAGCATGTGTCTGCCTGGATTTTCTCTTTCTCTGCTGCAGCTTTTGGATCTGATGGCAAGTTCTACCCAGAGGAGAGGAGAAAGGACTTAGAGATGCTTTTACAGGCATTGATGTGGATATAGGGGAGCTAAACAGAATGACAATTCAGGTGATGTCCCATAGGTAAAAATGCCTTTCTGGAAATTGGAGAATTCATATGGAAGCTCAGCCTTGGATAGAAAAAAAAACCCACGGGGGGATCAGTCTTTCATGGGGTCTGCTGTAGTGGGTGGTGTGTACATCTGTACACATACATATCCATGTTTTCTTTCCGAATAGGCAGAAACAGAAAGGAGGTGGGGGAGGAACAACTGAACAGTAAATAAATACTGCCCACACTTTCTGTAATGTTTGAGGAATCACATCGCTCTCAGTTCATTTGGTATTTGTTCTAATAGCCCTGAT